GATCTAATATATATTATTTAATACATTAACGAAAATTACAATATACGTTAACTTGAATAGATAAATAATTGTATTTTTTTAAAATATTGTATATATATATATATATTAAAATTTGTAATGGGAGAAACTAAAATTGCACAATTATAATATTTGAGGGACTAAAATTACACAATTATGATATTTGAGGGACTAAAAATAATAATAATAATAATAATAGTAATAATAGATACTATAATAATAATAATAAAAATAATAATAATAATAACTATGGGATTCTTCATCAATATTTATATTAATAATATCTATTATTTTAAAAAAGAATTATTTGAATGTAACATTCTCTTGATTCTAGAACTTAAAGGTGCAAGTTGTGATAATTTATTATCTTAAAATCCTTATTTAAATTCAAAATATAATTAAATATCAAAAAGTATTATCACAATATTTAATATAAATATTTGAAGTCATTAGATCGAAGATTTTATTGGAGAATTGATTAATTAGATATGACATCTTTTTAACCTTTGAATTTAAGATATAAGTTGTGACAAGTTGATATCTTTAATTTTTTCTCAAAAATAAAAATATCCGATGAAAACATTGATAAGTGCTATGATTTCATTAAGTTTATGGCCTAGTTTGAAGCACTTATCTTAATTTTCCTTGCTTTAGACCTTGTTTTTAACTCAAAACATCTCTAAAGTATTAGGTGATCACATTTTGTCTTTGAATCATGTTTTTAGGTAACTTACAAGTATTTGGTTGTTGTTTTGTAGTTTTGAAGAAAGCTAGGAAAGAAGGAAGGAAGTCAAGCACAAAGTGGTGAATTTGAAGTTGAAGGAATTTTTGGTTAAGTCCCCAGGCTAAGCCCCAGATCCAGGCTTAGCCTCAGCTTAGCAGAGAATCCCTGGAACAGAATGTTGATCCCCACGCTGAGCGTGGAACTGAGGCTGAGCATGGGAGTCCCAGAACCTCATTTCACTCCAGACCTATCCCCAAGCTTAGTGTGGCTCTCACGCTTAGCGTGGCTCTCACGCTTAGCGTGGATTGTGCTGACATGTCAGTATTCACATAAGACAAAAGCTTTTATGACCTAAAAGTGGGATTTTTCGAGGAGAGAAGGAAGGAGGATCATTCTTGGACTTTGTGTGGCGGCTGGAGAGCTCTGGAACCTTCAAGATCAAGCTTCTTCCTTTCTTCATCATTTGTAGAGTTCTACATGTCTATGTGTAGCTAAACTCACCCTTGTTAGGGTTTGATGTAACTAAGCCCATTCTCATGTGTAAACTCTAAGCTATCAATCTAAGTTGTTATTCAGTTTTATTGCTCTTTTTCTGTGCATAATGCTTGTTATGGCTTGATCACCCTTAACTTGAACTTAAGGTTTTTAAGAGATTGAGAAATGATTTTAAACCTTTGACTTGAAATAGAGCAGCTAATGGTGCTTATTGCTAGAGATAGAGTAAATGCCATTGGTCTTTCTTAAGCTCTTGTTTTTAAAGTTGGTTTCTTGGTTAAACTATGCAAGAGATTGATAGTTTAAGCTAGCAACTTAGATGCCAACTTGTAAGAGATTAGGGTTGGTTACTTTTGAGAGTGATTGATAAATTCTGAATAATAACTATTGTGAACTTAGTGATAAGCATGAGAGGAAGGTTTAGTGAAGTCAACCCCTAACAATTTATTAATATTGCTTTAGAATCAAGTTTTGCACTCTAAGTGTTTACCAAAATACCAAAAAGAATTGTTATTGCTTGTTTACATTATTTACTGCAGCAAATCAAACTTTTATTGCTTTTTGGTAGCTTAGTTAGTATAACAAGTGAAATTGCAAAGTGTTGCGCAAGTCCCTTGGGAGACGATACTCATACTTTCATTGAACTACTTATACGATTTGGTACACTTGCCAAACGAGATAACAAGTTTCTGGCGCCGTTGCCGGGGACTTGCGTCTCAATACTTAGGCAAAGTCACTTGGATTACTAATCTAGGCTTTGAGTCATTTATTCTTTTACATTTTTGCAATTACTATATTCCTTTTCTTTTAATTCATTGTATCTGTGTTGCTAACTGTTTGTTGTAGCTTTGTGATTCTGGTTTATGCGAGGTACTGTTCCTGCTAGTGATTTAGCTTACGACCCGGAATTTGAGAAAATAGCTAGAAGGAACAGGGGAGCAGTAAGGAAGCAAAGGTTACTAGCCAAGCAGGCACAACACAGAGAGGCTACTTCGTCCTCTCTTAGTCCTTTTTTATCTGAAATCTTAGAGGAAGTTGAAATGGTAGAGGAAAGACCAAGAATTACTCTTGGTGATCATGCAGCTGCTACTGGTACTACTCATTTCTCTAGCATTGCCACTCTTGCAATTTTTGCCACTAATTTTGAGATAAAGCCAGCACTGTTGAATCTGATTCAGAACAATCAATTTGCGGGTCTTGATCATGAGGACCCATATCTGCATCTTCATACTTTTATTGAGCTTTGTGGCACAATGAAGATACATCAAGTTCCTGAAGAGGTGATTCGAATGAAGCTGTTTCCTTTCTCACTACTTGGGAAAGCTAAGATGTGGCTCAATGCTCTACCACATCAAAGCTTAACCAGGTGGTCTGACATAGAGACAAAGTTCTTGGCAAGATTCTTCCCTCTTGCTAAGATAAATCAAGCAAAAAGTGAGATTGTCACATTCTCTCAGAAGCAAGATGAACTTCTATCTGAGGCTTGGGAGAGATACAAATCCTTGTTGAGGAGATGTCCAAGTTATGGATTTGATGACCTTACTCAGGTTAATATTTTTCTAGGTGGATTGCAGCCACGGGTGAAAATTCTGTTGGATGCCTCAGCTAGAGGTAGTATGCGTTTTAAAACACCGGAGGAGGCTATAGAGTTGATTGATGCAATGGCAGCAAATGATTATGATCTACCAGTTGAAAGGGAGTCAAGACATAAAAGAGGAATTCTAGAGTTGGGATCTCAAGATGCTTTATTAGCTCAAAATAAGCTCTTGTCCTAACAAATTAAGGCTCTTACCAAGCAAGTTGCTCGGATTCCACAACAACTACAATCCACTCAACATCAAGTTCTAAGTTGTGATCTTTGTGGGTTGAATCATCCTCACGGGCAGTGCATTGATACTTTCCCATCTCATGGAGAAGAGGTGAATTACATGGGAAATCAAGCTCGACAAGGAGGAAATTATGGTGGTAATTATGGGAAGAATTGGCAATCACACCCTAGCACAGGGTGGAACCAGAATGATATTGCTCAATCTAGTAGACCTCCTATGCAAAGGCCCAACTTGTATGACAGGCAGTCTAAATTAGAAGAAACATTGAATCAGTTCATGCAGGTCTCAATCTCTAACCACAAGAGTACTGAAGCATCTATAAAGAATTTGGAGATTCAAGTGGGGCAGCTGGCCAAACAATTGGCTGAAAATTCTGGTGGAAATTTTTCAGCCAATACTCATACTAATCCAAAGGAGAATTGTAGTGCAATTACAACAAGAGGTGACAAGAGAGTAGGTGTGTTGGAGGATGAGGAAGAGCAGCAGGAAAAAGAGGTAGAAATGAGAGAGGGAGGTGGAGAAAATAATGAAAAAAAAAAAAAAAAAAATAGAAAATGCAAAAGAGAATGTCATAGAGGGAGAAGAGTTGGCTGAGGAAGTTGCTGTTAAAAAATCAAAGAGCCAGCTAGCAAGAGAATTGAAGATGAAACCCAAGGTGTCTAGTACCAAGGATATGCCATATCCCCCAGCCCCAAGCAAAAAGGATAAAGAGAAGCAATTTGCACGTTTCATGGAGCTTTTTAAGAAGCTTCAGATCAACATTCCATTCTCAGAGGCATTGGAGCAGATGCCCACTTATGCAAAATTCATGAAAGACCTCTTGACAAAGAAGAGAAAGTTCATTGAGCAGGAGATTATTGAGTTGGAAGCGGGGTGCAGTGCCATAATTCAAAAGAACTTACCTCCCAAGTTCAAGGACCCTGGAAGTTTTACAATTCCAATCACTATTGGGGACCTATCAGTTGGAAGAGCACTGCTAGACTTGGGTGAAAGCATTAACCTCATGCCCTTGTCTATGTTAGATAGAGTTGGCCAAGTGGTAGTAAAACCGACCCGCATGACTTTGCAACTGGCTGACCGATCTATCAAGTATCCTTATGGGGTGATTGAAAACATGCTCGTTAAAGTTGACAAATTCATATTTCCAGCTGATTTTGTGGTTATGGATATGGAAGAAGACTCTGTTATTCCTATTATCTTGGGGGGTCCATGATGAGGTGATCACTTTTAATGTATTTGAAGCTATGACCCATCCGAATGATAAAGGTGCTTGTTTTCGAATGGATGTGCTGGATGAGGTAGTGCTTGAGGCTAAATAACAGCTAAAAAAGTCATCTTCTCTTGAATGTGTGTTAATTGATACTATGGATGAACTCGATGAGGAGGATGTGATTGAAATGTCTGAATGCTTGAAGCACCTAAATACTTTCAAGGAGATTCCACCTAGTGATGCCAACCATGAGGAGTTAAAAGGTGACAGCACACTAGTGAGCACTAAGCCAGAGTTGAAAATACTTCCAATTCACCTCAAATATGTCTTTTTGGAGCCAAATGGTGAAAAACCAATCATCATTAGTAACTCCCTGTCTCAACTGGAAGAAGAAAAATTGATTAAAGTCTTGCAGGTGCATAAGGAAGCTATAGGGTGGTCCATTTCTGACCTTAAAGGCATCAGTCCAGCTTACTGCATGCACAAAATAAACATGGAGAGTGATTACAAGCCAGTAGCTCAGCCTCAAAGACTCAATCCCATTATGAAGGAGGAGGTGAGAAAAGTGGTTCTAAAGCTCTTAGAAGCTGGGATGATATATCCAATTTCAGATAGTGAGTGGATAAGCCCCATACAAGTCGTGCCAAAGAAGGGAGGAATGACTGTGATCACCAATGAGAAGAATGAGTTGATCCCAACAAGAACAGTAACAGGCTGGAGAATGTGCATAGACTACCGGAAGTTAAACCAAGCCACTAGGAAAGACCACTTTCCTCTTCCTTCTACCGATCAGATGTTGGAGCGACTGGCCGGGCAAGCGTACTACTGTTTCTTGGATGGGTACTCGGGGTACAACCAAATTGTGGTTAATCCCGAGGATCAAGAAAAAACTTCCTTCACATGCCCATTCGGGGTGTTTGCTTACGGAAGAATGCCCTTTGGTCTTTGCAATGCACCAGCTACCTTCCAGAGATGCATGCTGGCAATTTTTGCTGATTTGGTGGAGAAATGTATTGGAGTCTTCATGGATGACTTCTTTGTTTTTGGGTCTTCATATGATGTGTGCCTGGAGAATCTTGAGCTAGTTTTGAAGAGGTGCATTGATACCAATTTATTTCTGAACTGGGAGAAGTTCCACTTTATGGTTCAAGAAGGTATTGTTCTTGGCCATAAAATTTCAGCTAGAGGAATAAAAGTGGACAAGGCCAAGGTTGATGTGATTGAGAAATTGCCTCCCCCAATTAATGTTAAGGGTGTTCATAGCTTCCTTGGGCACGCTAGTTTTTACAGGAGGTTCATCAAGGACTTTTCTAAGATCGCCAAACCTTTGTGCACCTTATTGAACAAGGACCAACCCTTTCTCTTTGATGAAGAGTGCATGAAAGCATTTTTGACCTTGAAGAACAAACTCACCACAGCCCCTGTGATTGTTGCTCTGGATTGGAGTGATGACTTTGAGTTGATGTGTGATGCCAGTGACTATGCTGTTGGAGTTGTCTTAGGTCAGCGGAGGAATAAGGTGTTTCACTCTATTTATTATGCTAGTAAAGTGTTGAATGGAGCACAGTTGAACTATGCAACCACAGAGAAAGAGCTGCTAGCCATTGTGTATGCCTTGGAGAAATTTTGAGCTTATCTTATTGGATCCAAGGTCATCGTTTACACCGACCACGCAGCCATTAAATACCTGCTCACCAAAGCTAAATCAAAACCTCGACTAACTACTGCAAGAATTCAACTTGGAGATAAAGGATAAGAAAGGTTCTGAGAATTTAGTGGCTGATCACCTCTCAAGATTAGTCAATGAAGAAGTTACTTGCAAGGAGGGTGAAATCAAGGATGAGTTTCTGGATGAATCTTTGTTGTCAGTGCAAGAACGTCCGTGGTTTTCTGACATGGCGAACTTTAAAGCAACTGGTATCATTCCGGAAGACTATACTTGGCAGCAAAAGAAAAATTTTTTCCGTGATGCCAATTACTATGTTTGGGATGACCATTTTCTCTTCAAGGTAGGGGCTGATAATCTGCTAAGGCGGTGTATCTATACCTTCTTCTTGATTCTATCCTTTAGCAACTAATCTAGCTTTGTTTCTTATGTTTCTTATGATTATACCATGTTCATCAAGTTTGTTTCTAAAAATCTATTTTGTTCCTATAATTTGATGATTAATAGGTCTATTAACCAATTCTCATACTTGATTTCTTTCAAATTGATTTAATTCTTCTTGCATAATATTAATCCAATGTTCATCATTTAAAGCTTCATCAATATTTTTAACTTCTATTTCAGAAACAAAAGACATGTTATTGCATGCTTCTTTTAGAGAGTTTCTAGTACTTACCCCTTTTGATATATCTCCAATGATATTTTCAAAAGGATATTTCTTGAGATTCTCCACTCTCTTTGAGGATTCATGTTTGTATGATCTTCTTGGATTATTGACTCCTCATTTTATTTATCTTTCTTGTCTTTTTGAGTTTGCTCATTAATATGAGTATCTTCAAAGCTTTCTACAATTTCATCAATAATATCTTTTCTTGGACAAACAAGGTTAGTTTCATCAAATACAACATGTGTTGATTCCGCAATAGTCATGGTTCTTTTTTGTATATTCTATATGATTTGCTATTTAGGGAGTATCCAAGAAATATCCCCTCATTAGATTTAACATCAAATTTTCCTAAGTTATCTTTTCCATTATTAAGTACAAAGTATTTGCATCCAAAAATATGAAGATGTGAAATGTTAGATTTTGTTCCATTGAATAACTCATAAGGAGTTTTCTTAAGAATAGGTCTAATTAAAGGTTTATTCATAGTATAGCATGCAGTGTTAACAACTTCTAACCAAAAGTATTTAGGGAGTTTTGAATCATTTAGCATTGTTCTTGATAATTCTTCTAATGATCTATTCTTTCTTTCTACTACTCCATTTTGTTGAGGAGTTCTAGGGACAGAAAAAATTATGTTCAATTCCATTTTCTTCACAAAATAAATCAAAATCTTTATTTCAAACTCTTTTCCATGATCACTTCTAATAGTGACAATCTTAAGATTTTTCTTATTTTAAATTTGTTTAGCAAATTTTCTAAAGACACCAAATGTATTACTTTTATGAGCAAGAAATAAAGTCCAAGTGTATTTAGAGAAATCATCCACTAAGACAAGACCATAGTAACTTCCACCAAAGCTCATAGTTCTAGAAGGTCCAAATAAGTCCCTATGTAAGAGTTCTAAGGGTTTAGAAGTTGTAATTATATTCTTTGGTTTGAAAGAGACTTTAACTTGTTTTCCCTTTTGGCATGAATCACATAGTTTATTTTTCTTAAATTTAATTTTTGGTAAACCTATTACTAAATCTTTTGAGATTAATTTATTTAGGTGTTCCATGTTTATGTAAGAAATTCTTTTATGCCAAGTCATGATTCATCATTTTTACTCATGAGGCATTGAGAATGATTAGGATTATTTTCTATTTTTATTTTATATACATTGTTAACTCTAAATCCAACTATCTTAACATTTTTATTATTTTTGTGTTCAATTAGACATTTTTGTGAGTCAAATGATACAGAAAAACCTTTATCACAAAGTTGGCTAACACTTAATAAACTATGTTTAAGACCATTCACAAGTAAGACATTTTCTATGAAGGTTGAGAAATTTGTACCAATTTTTCCAATGCTAAGTATTTTTCCTTGGTTGTTGTCTCCATAGGTTACATGTCCACTTCTCTTAAGAGTGAGGTCAATGAATTTTGAAGCATTTCCTATCATGTTCTTGGAACATTCACTATCAATATACCAAGTTTGATTTTTGGAATCCTTCAAGACCAAGAAAGGGTTGATTTAGGTACCCAAGTTTTCTTTGGGTCCTTAATGTTAGTATTAACAGAAGAACCTTTAGGAATCCAAACCATATTCTTGAGATTGCTAAAATTCTTTCTAATATAACATGTTGATGAATTATGACATTTCTTACCACAATAAAAACATGTTGTGAATGAAAAACTAGTAGCTTGTGTGTGAATAAAGAAATTTTTGTATTTCTTTTATTGTTTTTGAGAATTATATCCTAATCCTTCCTTATCAAATACACATTTTTATTTTCCTAATATTATATCTAAATTATTTCTTCCACTAGTAAATTTTGCAAGAGTGTTTCTTAGGTTACTAATTTCCTCTTTAAATCTATTGCATGTTGAACATAGAAGATTTATTTTATTTGTTTCTAACTTATTTTTAATCTCTTTATTTTCTTCTTTAGAATTTATTATCCTAATTTCGGTTTTAAGATCATCTAACTCATTATTTAATTTCAAAATCTCTTCTTCCAATTTTGAAATTGTTTTCTTATATGATGATACTAATTTTGCAAGTTTAAAGGATTCTTTATGCAAATCATTGAATGCATCTTGAAGTTCATCAAATGAAATTGAGATATCATTGTTAAAAGATGTCACCTCTTCTTCTCTTTTGTAATCTTTTGCCATGAGTCCCAAATTTACAACTTCATTTTTAGAGTCACTTGTAGAATCCATGTCATTTTCTTCCCAAGTGATATAAGCTTTCTTCCCTTGCTTTTCTTTGAAGCTTTTCTTTTTGGATTTTTCCATTTTTCTTTTATAGATTGGACATTCTAATCTCAAATGTCCCGATTGATTTCACTCATAGCATTTTGGGGCTGAAGAAGATTCTTCTTCTTTCTTCTTTATGTTGAAGTTGAATTTTCTTTTATTTCCTTTATTCCTTAGGAATTTATTGAATCTTTTTACAAAGAGATTGAAATAAGATATCTCATAATTCTTTTAACAGCACTCAAATGAGATTCTTTAGGGTTAGATTGGTATCTAGCACATAAACAAACACTGAACATAATATCAGGTCTACTTGCAGATAAATATAAGAGAGATCCAATCATACCTCTATATTTCTTTACATCTATGGATTTTCCCACTTCATCTTTGTCAAGGTAGCAAGTAGTGCTCATTGGTGTTGCCATTGATTTAGCATTCTCCATTCCAAACCTTTTGAGCAATTCTTTACAGTATTTGCTTTGATTAATAAAAATTCCATTTTTGGTTTGCCTTATTTGTAGTCCAAGGAAAAAATTTAGTTCTCCCATCATGGACATTTCAAATTCACTTTGCATATCATTTGAAAATTCCTTGCACAAGTAGTCATTAGTAGCTCCAAAAATAATATCATCAACATAGATTTGCACTAAAAGGATGTCATTCATTTTTCTTTTGATAAAGAGTGTAGTATCAACTTTTCCCCTTGTAAATTCTTTTTCCAAAAGAAATTTACTAAGTCTTTCATACCATGCCCTAGGAGCTTGTTTTAATCCATAAAGAGCCTTTTTCAACTTAAAGACATGGTTTGGAAATTCTGAGTTCTCAAAACCGGGGGGTTGTTCTACATAAACTTCTTCTTGAATAAAACCATTTAGAAAAGCACTTTTAACATCCATTTGGTATAATTTGAAGTCCATTATTGATGCATAGGCAAGTAACATCCTAATGGCTTCTAGTCTTGCTACTGGTGCATATGTTTCTTCATAATCTATACCTTCTTCTTGATTATAACCTTTAGCAACTAATCTAGCTTTATTTCTTATGACTAAACCATGTTCATCAAGTTTGTTTCTAAAAATCCATTTTGTTCCTATAATGGGATGATTAGTGGGTCTATTTACCAAATCCCATACTTGATTTCTCTCAAATTGATTTAATTCTTCTTGCATAATATTAATCCAATGTTCATCATTTAAAGCTTCATCAATATTTTTAACTTCTATTTCAGAAACAAAAGACATGTTATTGCATGCTTCTTTTAGAGAGTTTCTAGTACTTACCCCTTTTGATATATCTCCAATGTTATGTTTCCAAATGGGTCGAGGTTGTGGCTACACAAAAGAATGATGCTAAGACAGTGATCAAGTTTCTCAAGAAAAAACATCTTCTCCAGGTTTGGTGTTCCAAGAGTTTTGGTCAGTGATGGGGGAACTCACTTCTGCAACTCTCAGTTAAAGAAGGTGTTTAAACACTATGATGTGCGACACAAGGTGGCTTCTCCTTATCACCCGCAAACAAATGGGCAAGCAGAAGTCTCAAACCGGGGAATCAAGCGTATCCTTGAAAAGACAGTGAATGTAAGCAGGAAAGATTGGGCTCTCAAGTTGGATGATGCACTTTGGGCCATCGCACTGCCTATAAGACACCTCTTGGACTGTCACCATTTCAGATGGTTTATGGTAAAGCATGTCACTTGCCGGTTGAGATGGAACATAAGGCATACTGGGCTATCAGGTTCTTGAATTTTGATCCAACCCAATCAGTTGAGAAGAGACAATTATAATTGAATGAATTGGAAGAATTACGCCTCAATGCTTACGAGTCAGCTAAGAACTACAAGGAAAGGACAAAGTTGTATCATGACCAGAAGATTCTAAAGCGAGAGTTTGATCCGGGACAACTTGTGCTCCTTTACAACTCCCGGTTGAGACTCTTTCCAGGGAAGCTAAAGTCAAAGTGGTCAGGGCCATTCAGAGTTAAGCAAGTTAAGCCTCATGGAGCAATACAAGTGGAGGATGTTTCCTCCAAGGAGAGCTGGGTGGTAAATGGCCAAAGACTTAAACTCTACTTGGGCGGTGAAATTGAGCGAGCTTATTCCACCGTTGCATTGGAGAACCCCTAAAGCTTTGGTTTGTCAAGCTAGTGACAGAAAACGAGCACTTTATGGGAGGCAACCCATCATTCTTAATCCCAAAACATGTTAGCATGCCTTTAAATTCAGTTATTTTGTGTTAGTGTGTTTTAGGTGTAGGTACATGTTTTATCATTGTGTTTGCTTCTTAGTCGAGAAAGCATTGTGATTGTGAGGGCTTGAGGAACTTCATGTTGAGCTATGCTTGAAAAATTTGAAAATTTGCAGAAAAATTGAAATCCATGCTCAACATGAAGTTCCAAGCTAAGCTATATCAGTGCAGAGGTAGAAAAATAGCTCTCTAGAGGTGCCAGACTAAGCCTCAGTCCCACGCTTAGCCTCAAAACTTAAACTTGGAAACTGGGAGTTCTCTCTGGAACCCCCACGCTTAGCTCAAAATCCACGCTCAGCGTGGACGTGGCAGAGTAATTTGGCTCCTGGAGCTCCCACGCTAAGCCCTAGTCCCACGCTTAGCCTAGGAGTTCCTTTTTCATTAAATGTTGTCAAACTCTCTCTCAAGTCACCTATTTCTTTCCCTCTCCCACTCCTCACTCTCTCACAAACACTCTCAAACCCTAAGTCTCTTTCTTTGCTTCCTTGGTCGTGTTTCTCTTGGTGTGGGTAGGCTCCATTTTCTTTCCTCTTCATCAAAGGCGCGAAGGTAAGTTCATCTCCTCTAACCTTGTGTGGTTCCTTCCTTCGTATGTTTCTTGGTTCCCATTCCTATTTTTCCCTAATCATCTAATCCCCCAAACCATTTTTCGTGCAAACCCTTGTATCCATGGTGTTCTTGAGTTTATTTTCATGGTTGTTGTTCATTGATGAGATTTGCACATTTGGGGTGGTGTATTTTTGAATGGGTCTTCTTGAAACCCTTGGAAACTTTGTTTGCGTGACTACCCAGTACAAGATCTAAGCTTTTTCTGCGTTTTTGATTGTGAATGACGAAATTTTTGGGCCAAAAGGGGGAGCTAAGTGCTGCACCCATGACGCTGAGCGTGGGCCTGGCGCTCAGCGTGGCCCTGGCAACAACTTTGCCCTATTACTGCACTTCTCACGCTAGGCGTGATAATGGCGTTGAGTCCCCTTTTTGGCAGCCACATTTGGCCTCTGTTTGTCCTACTCTTGTGCTTTAATGGGTGAATTTCAGAAGCCTTCTTTGTTCACACTTTAAATTGAGTTGGTGGTCATGTTCACTTTGCTTCATTGTGGTTCATTGGTTGGCTTTAACCTTTACTTTCATTGTCCTTGCACTTTCATGTTGCCCAATTTTTCAGGATGGCTCCACCAAAGACACGCCCGGAGAAAAGAATTAAAACTACTGCAGCGCGACCATTTCGTGGCCCTTCATTTGACTCCCACACCTTCCGTGACAAGGAACATCAAGAATTCTATCCCAAGTTGGAAGAAAGAAGTCTCTGGATGGAAAAGATGGTCAAACTCAAGCCAACTGAATATCCAGAATTCCAAGCAGAAATATAAAGAAGGAAGTGGGAAAAGCTGGCCTCCTACATGGCTCCTGCTAACATTTCTGTTGTGCGGGAATTTTATTGCAATGCTCGGGTTCTTAGCAAGGAGTTCCCTGTGTACACTAGCTATGTTCGGGGTATCACGATCAAGTTTGATGCCGTCACCATTAACACTTTCCTAGGCACTCATCTGACTGAAGGCCTCAGGTACTGCGAGTATTCTGATTGGGTAGCCCGCAGCAAGAATTATAGGCTGGTGGAGCGCACAGTTTGTAAACCACGGAAGGGATTTCAATACACAAGCAGGGGGAAGATATCTCACATTCTCCGAGAAGATTTGATTCCAATGGCAAAAGTTTGGGTGGCTTTTATTCATGCCAATCTTTCTCCTTGTTGCCACACTTCTGATGTCCTAGAGTCAAGGTATCTTGGGTCATCCTTCACTCATTACACATCTTTGTCATCGAGCTGGAGTCGATGTTACTGAAACACCATTTGAGAAGTTGAAGATGCCCATCAACAAAGTTTACATTGATACCTACTGCTCCAAGGAGAATAATAGGAGGACTGCCAGTACTTCAGCTTCTTTCTCTCGAGCACCAACACCAGTTAGTGATATGGAGTCTCGGCGGTGGGAAGATATTAACGCTGCTCTGATTTGCAGTGAACAGAGGGATGAGGCCATGTTCAGAGCTATTACTATGGTGATGGATAGTGTTCGTAATCTTTCCATTCATGCACCAGGACTCGCCCCAAATTTTCATCCACCTTCAGCTGCAGCTTATTCTGCTCATGTAGCATGGCCAGGAGGCCCTGCTCAACAGTAGGGGGAAGGTGATGCAGCTGATGATGCAGTTGATGATGATGAGGAGTCTAAGGAAGAATCTGAGGAGGAGGATGACGATGAAGAAGAAGAAGAGTCGGATGAGGCTGAAGAGGATGAGGAGGAAGACTAAGCTGTGTCACTTTGAAAAATTGTGTTTTATTATTATGTTCTATTATTTTGTTTTGATTATCTTGTTGTGTACTTCTTATTAACCCTTTACCTTTGGTTGCATACATATTTCAATGCCACTGACTGTTTAGCTTTAATGCATTTTGAAAACTGAAAAAAAAAATTCAAATCAGGTGTGCATGTTTCCCTTAGTGAACAAAGGTATTTTTAGATACAAGATCAAAAATGTTTGTGGTTGCACTCTAGGGATGATTAGTGACAGTGTGATAATTACTTTTGTGGTTAATGATTGTGGCATGATACTTTTGAAAAGTTTTGAGCACCTTTATTAGCCCATGTGAGTTTTGGCCCCTCTTGTTTTAAGAGTGTTACCATTTGATTTCATGCGGTTGATTTTGCTTGAGTCTCTTTTGAGTTTGCATAGCATATGTTGTTTAGAGATGATCAAGGCAATTTTTCTTGTAAATTTGAGCCACTTGACCAAAAAGCCAACCTAACAGAAAAGTGAATCCATTGCACCCTACTTTGAGCTAAATAGTGAATCCATTGAAAACCTTAAAGCCCTTAAGAAAAACAAAATTCTCCCACACCTTAGGAATAGGAGAGCAGTCAAATTGATCATAAGTGGAGAAAAGTCTTAAGTTTGGGGTATTTTGGGGTGATCATTGTTGCTGAGCATATGGATAATTGTTGCATGTTATGGTTGTACCATTGTGGCCATTAGTCAATTGTTATTCAAATCAAAAAGAATTTCAAAAATCAGTTTAAAAAAAAATCAAAAGAGAAAGAAAAAAAAATCAAACATCAAAAAGTGATTAAATTGTGTTAATTAATAAGTGTGTTGTATGAGAGATTCCCACCTAAATACACTTGTGTGATGAGAGAAACACTGATCTTGGTGAGGAAGAGGTTGTTCACTAATTTTCATTAGTATCACTGCCATGCTTGTTAATCCCTTTGGAAACTATTGCAATGCACTTTTGATATCAAATTGTGTGGGCACCACATTAATTGGCTGATCAAGTGTAAACATTTTCTGGTGTTCAACTATTGGAAGACATGTATGCCTGTTTTGTGTGATTCCCAATTTTCAAATCGTGTTCAATAAGGAGATTAGGTTGTGTGTTAACTTAGTTGCTTTATTTTTCTTTGCTTGAGGACAAGCAAGATATTAAGTTTGGGGTATTGATAAGTGCTATGATTTCATTAAGTTTATGGCCTAGTTTGAAGCACTTATCTTAATTTTCCTTGCTTTAGACCTTGTTTTTAACTCAAAACATCTCTAAAGTATTAGGTGATCACATTTTGTCTTTGAATCATGTTTTTAGGTAACTTACAAGTATTTGGTTGTTGTTTTGTAGTTTTGAAGAAAGCTAGGAAAGAAGGAAGGAAGTCAAGCACAAAGTGGTGAATTTGAAGTTGAAGGAATTTTTGGTTAAGTCCCCAGGCTAAGCCCCAGATCCAGGCTTAGCCTCAGCTTGGCAGAGAATCCCTGGAATAGAATGTTGATCCCCACGCTGAGCGTGGAACTGAGGCTGAGCGTGGGAGTCCCAGAACCTCATTTCACTCCAGACTTATCCCCAAGCTTAGCGTGGCTCTCACGCTTAGCGTGGATTGTGCTGACATGTCATTATTCACATAAGACAAAAGCTTTTATGACCTAAAAGTGGGATTTTCGAGGAGGGAAGCAAGGAGGATCATTCTTGGACTTTGTGTGGCGGCTGGAGAGCTCTGGAACCTTCAAGATCAAGCTTCTTCCTTTCTTCATCATTTGTAGAGTTCTACATGTCTATGTGTAGCTAAACTCACCCTTGTTGGGGTTTGATGTAACTAAACCCATTCTCATGTGTAAACTCTAAGCTATCAATCTAAGTTGTTATTCAGTTTTATTGCTCTTTTTCTGTGCATAATGCTTGTTATGGCTTGATCACCCTTAACTTGAACTTAAGGTTTTTAAGAGATTGAGAAATGATTTTAAACCTTTGACTTGAAATAGAGCAGCTAATGGTGTTTATTGCTAGAGATAGAGTAAATGCCATTGGTCTTTCTTAAGCTCTTGTTTTTAAAGCTGGTTTCTTGGTTAAACTATGCAAGAGATTGATAGTTTAAGCTAGCAACTTAGATGCCAACTTGTAAGAGATTAGGGTTGGTTACTTTTGAGAGTGATTGATAAATTCTGAATAATAACTATTGTGAACTTAGTGATAAGCATGAGAGGAAGGTTTAGTGAAGTCAAACCCCAACAATTTATTAATATTGCATTAGAATCAAGTTTTGCACTCTAAGTGTTTACCAAAATACCAAAAAGAATTGTTATTGCTTGTTTACATTATTTACTGCAGCAAATCAAACTCTTATTGCTTTTTGGTAGCTTAGTTAGTATAACAAGTGAAATTGCAAAGTGTTGCGCAAGTCCCTTGGGAGACGATACTCATACTTTCATTGAACTACTTATACGATTTGGTACACTTGCCAAACGAGATAACAAACATCTTTTAAGTATATACTATATTAATAAGAATATCTATAACAATAATTATAATTAAAGTTAAATATTTTATGGAGTT